TGAAATCTCACCATATTTTTCATTTCACTTTGTATGAACATCATCAATAGTGAATATCAATATTTTTTCGAGGAACTAACAAATATTCTAAGATCTTGAAATTCATAATTTTAAACTCATCATTTCGAAAATAAATACCATAGTGTGGGTGCTAGATCAGTAATATGCAATGGTAACAGGTATTCATGAGTATACAACTCAGTTCTTATTGACTTTTGAAATTCAATTACAGATAAAACTATTTGCTTCTGAATGCTCTTAGTTATTATGAAGATTATTTTGTCGAATCCCTGTATAAGCCGTATGAGCAGTTCCTGTATTCACACATTTCACTTTTTTTTCTATTATTATTCTCGACAATGATCGACACTAAGTTTCTTATTCAGAACAAAGCGATTTGCATCACGTTTCTTGTTCATCCCTAAACTATCAGGACATATTTTTATCGCACCTCGTATATCCACCATCAAGAATAAAGTACATTTTATATATCTGGAACTACACACACTGGCACAATTAGGGGAACGGGTAAAATTTACACTAAGTTTGACATCAATTTTCTCTCGAACCGATCACTCGATTCGAATTCGTTTTTCACGAATTGTAGCTTCATTCTTCACGAATACATCTGAGAAATAACCACCCCCAAACGATTCGTCTTTATATCATATACAGGGATGTAAAGAAAGTACGGAATTTTCGGTATTCTTTAAGACATTTTGTGTAGTGAACCACTGATAATTGGGACGATTTTCCAACACCAAATTATAGCCCAATCTATCCCGAATATTTTCATTTTTTATTCATCTTTATATCCCAATTATCCAAGAAAATATAGAGTTTCAAAGAAGAGGTGGATATTGGTATTAATTTTACCACCTCGAAACTCGAACTGGGGAGAACGTGTCGTTTTTCAACTTGTTTCTGTGAGGATTTTTACTTCAAGAGGAGAATTGTTCACAGTTTTACCTATCGGTTTACTGTTTAAATATACGAATATGCAGGAGTGATGAAAGTTGCTCCAATGTTCTTTTGGTGGAATGCTATTTTTGTTAATCAACGTTGGCTATTTTGTTAATGTCATTAATTATTGTCAAAGTCAAGCGATTCACAATTCATAAATTTGATTAAAGAAAATTCAACGTGAGAGATTTGACTCCTACTGACCAGTGGGCCAATGTTCTTTCAACATATGAGAGCCGCATCTGCACCAATTCAATAGATGGCAGGGAAAGACTATATCGCCGAGGTGAACAAAATGAACAATTTGATTTTACTGCTTCTGTCTCCTATGGCAGAAGTTTAGTCATGGTTAGGTTAGGTTAGTCAAGAAACGACACATTTTCAGATCCGATTTGAGTTTTGAGGTGTAAAATTGATACCAATTTCCACCTTCCCTTTGAAACTCTGTATTTTCTTGAATAATTGAGATATCAAGATGAATAAAAAACCAAAATATTCGGAATAGATTGGGCTCCAATTTGGTGTTGAGAAATCGTTTCAATTATCAGTGGTTCAGTCCACAGGATGTCTTAAAAAATACCGAAAAATCCGTACTTTCTTTACACCCCTGTATATGATGGAAAGACTCATGGTTGGGAGGTAATTATTTCTCAGATGTGTTCGTGAAGAATGAAGCTACATTTCGTGAAGAAAAAAATTTGAATCGAGCGATCGGTTCGAAAGAAATTGATGTCAAACTTAGTGTAAATTTTGCCCGTTCCCCTAATTGTGCCAGTGTGTGTACAATCTTGATTTATTCAATGTTCTCATTCATCATAACGAAAATGCATCATATCGATCCGAAAAATTACAAAACCGTTTCGAGGCCAGACACCAAACTTCATCATAACGGTGTAACACTCCATTATTTCACTAGTAACAAAGAGAAAATCATTTTTTACCTTTTGACGACTACGTTATTCATCAGTCGATCATTCTGTATTTTTTGTATCACTTTGTTTAATTCTTCAAAGAACAATTTCAACTTCCAATTTGTTTCAATTGATTGTCGAGAAAATGCACCATTTTGAATGAATATTCATAACAGGATTATCAAAGCTCTAAATCTGAAAATTCCGGAAACGTTTCAAGACAAAGCATCGATCAACAGGATACAGGTGAGAAAAAAATAAAACAAATATCTGTTCAAACGGTAAGGTGACTCCCACGATGCAACTGTACACCCATTTAATCATCACCCTATAGCAATGTTATCTGAAATCACAGAAGTTTCTTTCATATTGCAACCACAAACTGTCAAGAGATCACCGAATCCTCGGTGAAAACCAATTTAAAATTGGTAAAGAAATTCGTGTTATTCTACTTTGAATTCAGGCAATATTCTGGACGACGACGTTATCATTGTTGACCAGTTTATTTGCAGTTATATTCTTTTGTACACATGCATAATAAAGGATATATCGCATCCAAACGGATTCAAAAATGCGATTCAATTATTATAGTCGATACACAATCAACAATACACATGATGAAACTACTCAACGTTCGGTGGGCGTAATTTTTCTTTGATGAAAAAAAAATCAAGTTTTCGAAATGTTTGAACATTCAGATGATAAAAATGTATTCTTGAAAGCTAGTACCTTAGGAAGACGATAAGTTCATTCGAAAAAATGCAATACTTTGATATAATTTAAATCTGCATAACACAACAACTGACTTTGACTTTCATTCAGAGGAATGTATATTTTTACAGAGAGAACTTTAAAATTTACGCTATTTTGCACAATATCAATCATTAACCTGTGGTGTCTCAGTTTCAAGTATTTTTGTAATCATTCAGAGACTGTAATTAGGGCATTGAAATCAGGTATCATTTGGGGGTTGAGCAGTATATTTGGTTCTAATCTGAAATTCAAAATTTTTGAAATCTTAGGAATGCCCCTATTTACTTTTCAGGTATATCAAAGATGACAACATTGTTGAAGAAACAGACATGCTCAAAATTTTACAAATATTGCCGATTCCTCATCATTTCATGGCTGCTAGAAGGAGAAATAGACAATAAAACCATTGATAGTGTGAGCAAATGCAATATATACAAAGTATCAATACTAACAGCTGTCCCAACCAACAAAAAAAACGAAGTGACAACTCGATGAGAAAGTAAAATAATATTTGGTAAATAAATTTATAAAATACAGAGCAAATATAGGACCATATGTCGCACATTTTTTGTTTAATTAGTTGTGAGATTATTGACATCACATATAAATTTGAAGAACAATATCCTAGTGAGAGAACTGCCAGCCAAAGTCCGACTAAAAAATTGATTCTCATAAGCAAACAAAAACAAGAAAATATATGTACAGCTCAGAAAATAAAAATATATCTCTGTAATAAAATAAATTTAACAAATGCGCCAGCTAAAGAGACAAAAGCAAAAAAAGTACCATTAAATCCGATAAAACGACTATTTACACCATTATACTCATCAGACATTAATTTGTCAATTCCCAAATAGTAAGTTAAAGTTCAGAGATTATTGGAAAACATGAATTAATTGGCGCTAAACTCAAACTTACTCTTCAGAATACCAGATCTCCTACAATATTTTTGCATTTCGAATCTCAAAAGCCAAAAGTGCACAAACGAGTATAAATCAAAAACAAATTAGGCAAACAGTTCCCCACCATCGGACAGATAAATAGTGTATAATATACGATTATTTCTTCAAATACATAAACAATCTGCCTTAAAATTCGAGTAATTGTATTTATATATATTTTTTTTGTAGTTTTTCTTCTTTATATAATTAATTATATACATATAATTTTAAAAACGACTTGTGGGCAGACGCGACACCGCCAAAAAACGGCGAAAATCGCCATCGGCGCACAAAATAACAACAAGAGACTAAGGTCACAACTTATCCTGAAGATACTATTATCACAGGCATGGTTTTACCGGGGCGAATTCAACTCGCAACGGTGAACTTTTTTCTCTTTCCTAAATTCGAAAGAATTTTCAATGAAAAAAGAGAACATACACACACTCGCAACAGGAATTCAGCGTGAAGAAAAGCTAGCTGATTAGGCTGCAACCTTAGGTCCTAACCTACATGGCACTGGTCGTGGCGCGATTGGAGAGCACCGTGAGGAAATAAAAAACACTACGCTATCCGACCTGAGTTCTAATCGCATGAACCTCGAGTAATATCGACGAAATTATTCGAAAATGACACAAAAATCTCCAAACCCAACTTGAACTACTTAGAGCAAATTGGTGTATTTTTACACCGATTAGTGTACTGTTACACCGATTAGTGTACTGTTACACCGATAGGTGTATATTTACACCAAATGGTATACATTTCAACAAAAGTGTGATAAATGGAAATGTGAGTTCAAGAAGCATAGCTGTGTATTGATGCAACTAATTCTATTTAATAGGAGAAAATTTGTGCTCTTTTCGCTTTCTATGTTCATGATATATTTATCGAGATCATGCGACGACAAAAATACGCAAGCCACTCACAATAATATTCTCACACGTACAACTCATCAGACACACGAAAAAACAAAACTTAAAAATCAACAAGGTAGTGCACAGTCTGGAAAAATTTCTGAAATGAAAAAGTCATCTTGGCACTTGCAGCTTTCCAAAACGTGTGAATCATCAATAAAATAGTACTCGACGACATCAATAATAATAAAAACTTAAATAAAATTAGGAACTTCGTAAAGCCTGCTGCAAAATTTGGATAAGCTGAAAAAACAAAAAAATAAAGTTTGTTTCTCCTGGAAATAAAAAATTAAAACGTAGACTCGGTAAAAAAGAACTAATAAATTGAAAGTATGCTGTAAAAACGGTAAAACAATAATGCGTATAAAAAAATCCTTTCTAAATCGCTGGGAATAAAAATCTCGAATTTTTGCCCGCTAAAAACGAATAATAAAAATATTACTACTTATTTGTAAGAAATAAAAATCAGTTCAGTACTGTGTACAATGCGAGATCAAATCTACTTGCTCGGAGCTTCACAAGATGTACAGGGTGTTCAGGACCAGCACGTGATGGTTGTTTTTGGCCAAGGTAACTACGTAACCCTCCGAAGTGATCTTCAGGCCACAGCAACGAGACACCTGAAACAAGACAAAAATATATGTGCGATTCTTAAAAATTCATGTTTATGACAGAAAATTTGAGATTACTTCCTGTAAATGTAAATCAAGGATAGACAGAAAGGATAGTTGTAAAATACTTAGGAATTTTACTTGATGAAAACTTAAACTGGAAATTTCAGCAAAGTTAGAAAAATAATCTACACATTTTATGAACTGAGACATATTTTGAATGTAAACTCTTTTTTCTACAAACGTCAGTAAAAGTATAATTTTTGACGCATGCTGTCAGTGTCTAAAATGTCAGTTTATGACAGTTCATGGTGTTGAAAGTAAATCACTTTTAGCATTAGTGCTGAAAGTGATTTATTTTTATGAGAAAATATGTAAACATAATTCAAAATGAAGTCTTTATTCAATTAAAAGTACAATTCGCGAAACTACAATTATAATATTAAACTCCATGGCAAGTCTCATTAGTAGATGTGACAGAATTTATTTTCGTGAAGCTTGTACCAGGGCAGAGAGCAATATTATCTGCCGAAGTTTTCGACAAAATTTGATCTGCAATATTCTGTTTCCTTTGTAGCGAGTCTTCTATATAACCCTCTGCTACTGTACTGGACTTCCATCCACCATGTCTTTTAATTGTAGTAAGACTAGCACCAGAGTCCGCCAACAAACTAGCTGAGGATCGTCGGAAACAATGTCCAGTATATAGATGGGAATCAGGCAAATTAAGAAATTCACCAATTTTGGCAGGCATCTTACCAAATGTGTTGATTCCAACTGGAGTCCTAGCACATTTATTTTTAATGCATTTTATAAAAACTCTAGAATGATTAATATCCACTGGACGAAGGGCTATGTACTTTTTGTAGTTGTTCATATACAATGTACCACTTACAACAAAGGGGCGTTGCACATTAGTTTTTGTGTCTGGTATATGCACAACTAGTGAAATTCCGGAATCCTCGATATTATTTAATGTAAAATCGCACAGTTCTTCTCGACGACAGGCTCCAAAAACACCAAAAATCGCAGCAACATTCTGCATTAGATATATTTCATCTCGGGCTTCGGCGAGAAATTTGTCGATTTGTTCTCTTGTCAATACTTTTGACTTTTACGGTCGATATCCTTTACCCTTTCGCTTCAAAAAAGCAACAAGCTTGTGATATCTGCTTATGTCATGATCATTTATGTTCATCATCGACTTTAACATAGAGTAATTCGACCAAAGCGTTGACGACTTCCACATTTTGGACTTTTCTTCAAAGTATGCAAGAAGTACTTTTTCACTGGCCTCCTTTCCACTGACATTTTTCTGATCACACCATTTCAAGAAACGTTCGTATGAAAACTCGTACTGTCGCTTTGACTTACTAGGTAATAATTCGAAAACAGCTTTATTGGCAGCTTCATCAATTTGCGACGGAAGAAATTATTTTCTTGCAGTTTGAATAATTAAATTTTTTTCAGAAAGAATCACATTTGACATATACATTGCACTTGTTTTGACGTGTTGAATTTGAATGTGTAAAAATATACAGGGTGTTCCATTTGATAAAACAGAATTGCTGGCATTTCCAGAAAATCCGGGAGTCCGCCATATTGGAATGTAATGTGATCAAATCCGAAATGGTTGCTAGTATAACTGTATCAAATTCGAGAAGAATCCGTTTACGTATACAGAAGTTGCAGGGGCGGCCCGATACACTGTGTCACCTGGTATATGACAGCTGTGCTATTGTCTGCCACTACTTACTAAATCGTGACGTCAGTGTATATTTGTGGTAAATTTTTAGCCTTTTGAAAATTACCGAGTCATTATTGATTGATGATTTAAAAACCTTAAAATCGACCGAAAAAATCTTTAAAATATGGAATTGAAAGATAATTGAGTGATGATTCTATTTAAAAAGTTAAAAATATATTAGTACACTTGTCAAATTCAGATATCAATGAAACGTCACGCGAAAAAATGGCGCCGTGGAATCTGCAATCGGTGAATTTACAGCCTTTTGAAAATTACCGTTGCGTGACGATATAAGGACCTTGAAATCGACCGCAAGAATCTAAAAAATATAGAACTGAAAGGTAATAATTGAGTGATGATTCTATTTGAAGAATTTAAAAAAGTCCACTTGTCTAATACAACAAATCATCAAATTTACACTGACCTTGACGTAAGGGCACTCGAATTCAGATATCAAAGAACCGTCACGCGAAAATACGGCGACGTGGAATCTGTTTCCGTGCGAATCGCCGATGAGGACGTCTCCAGCATCGGAAATGTCAATGCCATTGGGGAAATTGGTGAGATTCTCGCAGCCGATTCTACGCAGGTAGTGACCCTCCTCGCTGAACACCACCACATTGTGACCCTTGAAGTCGCATACATAAAACTCCTTCCCTGAAACGAGAACAGAAATACTGTTAACTAATTGTTAGAGTCAAATCGTTGTAGGAGATCACTGATTGTCTATTGATTCATTTTAGTTTCAATTAGATAATATTAGTATTACTATCAGCATTTTTATCATGTTCACCAGGTATTATTATGATAATTCATAGTAGCATTTACTTGAACCATCCTGTATGGTATGATATTCGAATTTATCATGAGATGTTAGTCAGGGTTGTTATATAAATGTAACCGTTGAGGAATGTGAATCAGATAGCAGTAGTGACACAGTTGTATTTGATACTTGTCTGAGAGTGGTCCAATAGATATTAACTGAAAGTATTCGTGAATCAAAAGTCAACCTAACATAATATTATAGCAGTGAGTTATACCAGTTAGTGTCATTTTACACCAAAATAATGTAGATTTACACTGAATGATGTAGTTTTCACAAAACAGTTACATATCATACACAAACATAAACCTTAGAAATACAGGGTGATCCACGGTTGATGGCCTATTAGAAGTGTATGGAGAACGAAAAGACAGAACATCCTGAAAATTGGGATGCTTCGAAAATTGAACATTCTCTATCCGTCTAAAATATTTTCATCAATACAGTGTTGCCACTTCTATCAGAAACAACTAGCAACTTCGTTATTTAAAATGGAGCACCCTGTATTTTATTGCATTTTTAGATTCTTCCTGAAGAGCTGATTTCATCAATGTATCACAATTGAGGTCTAGCAGGAATGATATTATTATATTTCCATTTGTGCTTTTATTTTAACCGCCAATTAATGAAAAAAATTAAATAAAAGTTCATCAGAAACTTTCTCAACAAGTTCCTGTGGTATTTTTCCCGTGGATTCATAATATGGACCTCATCTTTTTGATAATTATTATACAGGGAGAGTTATTCTCACAATAACTCAACATAGGAAAAAAATAATATTCCGGTCCTGATATTAGTTTCGTTCAAAGGGCTACTTGTTGAAGACTTTGAGTTCAATTCATGTACCAAATTTGAACCGAGTAGATCAATATTCTTCCTTATTTTGGGCACATGGTATAGTGTGAATTGGCACGAGACTGTTGTTTATGAATTGAACCATAAAAAAACAGTTTACAAGCTTACACGTTTGTGGAATTAATATACACTAGATAGTGTATATTTTTGCAGACCAGTGTCAATTTGCTCAAGCGTTCAAATTCACAAGAAATTGTGTGAATCATTGATTACACAGATAAAAACTCCTTTCCTGGAAAATACATAAAATAGTGTGGATTTAAATGAAATAGAATGAATTTACGCCACATATTATACATCACCAGACCAATAATATTTAAATGACTAAAAATATAAACAACAAAGACTATCCAGTAATTCAAACGTATATGCAAGTAATTTACACCAAATAATGTTAATTCACTTCACAAATCAAGACCTCACATTAGACTGGTACAATTGAATCACTAATAATGCAGATAAAAAATTAAATTTATGAAACAATAATAAAAACGCTTATGGTTTGGAACGAATGTGTGGAATGAAATTGTTCAAATTCATACCATACATTGTATATTGGCACCAGAGAAAACACTATTTACGAGTACAAACGTATGCGGCAGTAATGCACATGGAAGTTTACATTTGAATAAAATAGTGTGAATTTACATGACATGAAATTATACCAGACTAGTATAAGTTAATGAAAATGCAGAACTAAATCATCCTACCTGAAACAATAAACAGGATGTTCATCAGTTCAAACATATGTGGAAGTTATTTACACCAGTTAGTTTGAATTTACACCAGATAGTGTAAATGTACACCAGATCGTGCAAATTTACACCAGATCGTGTGAATTTACACCACACCGATGTACATCCCGAAAAGTGTCGACAGTAATATTCTTACCGTGTATGGCGATGTCGGAGGGCTCTCTCATATAATCGCTGCAGTCGAACCAGCGCAACAGGTCCCCGCTCTCTCCGATGATGAAGACGGTAGGACTGACGCTGTCAACTGCAACGATCTCGCCATGAGTGGTGACCGCCAGTCCTGCGACGATGTCGATGTAGCGGATGGCGATTTTCTTGAGGAAATGGCCGTTCTTCGTGAAGATTTGCATGCGCGAACGCTCGTTGCCCCTGTCGCAGACCACGTATTTGCCGGTGGTGCGCATGACCGCTACTTTGCGCGGATACCACAGCTGGCCCTCGTCCTTTCCCGGTATGCCGAATTGGAATTTGAATGTGCCGGTTTTCTCAAACACCTATAATTGGATTTCAGGAAATATATCACAGGTGAACACGAGATGATATCCAATTTATAAATTATCTTGTAGAATGATATATTAATTCGAAGATTCGGGAAGTTACCATGTTGTTTCTGATGCAGATTTTCAGTACTCAAACGTCTGACATCATCTCCGGTTTGACAAAGGTTTCAACATTATTTGTATACAAGAAATTCCAAGTATAAAATATGCACCAAATCCTATTCCTCTCTCGACAGTTCTGAGGCTGGACTAAATCGTCCGTATTAAAAAAAATTTGAGGAAGGTGGAGTGGAATTAAAATTTCAGTTGGAACTATATACAGTGTCATTCAGTCCGTAACATATGGGTAAACAGTTTATTATTAGAGTATCGAAAAATGTTCCCGGAGATTTGTTGATTATGCATGTCCGATAACCTAGAAATCGATTTCGACAAATGTCACGTGATAACTGGTATGACGGTAAATTGAAAAAAAAAATGAATATGAAGAGGTGAAAAGTAGGGTTAGATGGCAAGATTAAAGATACATATCATAAAAATGTATTCAAAAAAGTTGCTTAGAATTCAATTTTATACTCATACAGTTTCAAACAATTATTCCAGGAAATTGGAATTGCCATTTTTTCGAATATATCTCGATCTCGTTAGAAATATCTTTTTTTTTCCTCCTGAATAGCTTGAGAGTAGTGATACACTGATACACTGTATTTCTATGAGAATAAGATGACTATCAGAAAAATTCGATATTTTTGAAGTTTTATATCCAAATATGATGTGAAACAATGTAACAGCGAGTCATAACAAAAACCAATTTTTTCAATTCCATCCTATCTGGTGTCGAGAAAATGAGATTATGCTCTTATTCTCCGCGAAATATTGATTGCACATTTACATTAAATAACATTATGTTTTCAGGCAGCTAACAAAAACTAGTAGCGCGCGGCTAGGACAAGATATGGTCAGTCTTTGTATAAATCCATAGATCTAAATATAAATCTGAAAATATAAGTTGGTTTCCCTAAAAGAGCTTTGATTTCATACGCTAATTATAACGATTGTATCAAGATATATATACAATATTAATATTGCCACTTTTTACCTACTATACAATGACATTCTTAGATTCACTATGCGACGTTTGGTCTTCAGAACATATTGGACTTTCATTAATAATAGCATGGTGAATCTGAAAATGTCATCGTATAGCAGGGGAAAGGAGGCAATGTAAATAATATGCTCTCAATTTCGCCTCTAGTATATGTTATTTGGTCTGAGGTCAGCACTCACCTGAATGCGATGATTGTTGGTATCGGCCACGATGATATCCTCCTCCAAACCCAAACAGAACCCGTGCGGCGAATTGAACTGGCCCTTGCTCGGTCCCAGCTGGCCGAACTTGCACCGGATCTGCATGGGGCTCACCTTGTTGCTGCGGGCCACCGACGAGGGGGGCGCCGCTCCCCCGGTAGCGGAGGGGGGTCCTGCGGGGGGAAGAATGTTGGTGAGGGGATCGGGGACGAGGTCGTCCGGAGTGGATAGAAGGGGGGAGGTCGATGCGGAGACGCCGCCGCCGAAACCGTTTATGAGGTTGTTGGTGAGGTTGAGAGAGGCGGCGGAGGTGGAGCGGGCCAGCATGTTGTTGTTGTTCGGCACGGTATCTGCGATCGGTACCGATTTCAGAGATTGTGCTTTTTGTGATTTAGTTTCGATCTGACACCTTTTTCAGGTCAATTGGTTTTCAAGACGCGTGAAATAATTTATTGCGGCGTAAGACTCCTAGGGACATAATTATCTATTTTTTCATCTCTCGTCGAAAATAGCGACATTTCAAACATCAAAAGACTTTCGAACACTTATCAAATTGATTAACAATTACAACACCCGGCAAACTACAAATAATGTTTGACACTCAGTTTTCAAAGCCAAAGTAGTTCTTTCTTCTCTCCATTTAGTAAGAATGCATTATTGTATTCTTTCCAGGTGTAATTTCGACTTAATTCATAGCTTATTTCAACATGGCTATTATGAATAAACTCGTATGAATACTAACGCATGGTACCACTATACCAATATTGTTCAAGAAGTCGAAATTGTTTTTTGTTTTGATGAACTAAAATTGGGAATAAATCAGAAAATTTTACGTTCTTGACAGGAATCAATTTTTTCTAGTATTATGCAGGGTGATTCAGGTTCAAACTGAAATGGGTGAAAGATACCATCATTTTGATCAAAAAAGTGTGTATAATAGTCTAAGATCGAAATAAGGTCGACCTTCACCTATCTGTTTAATAGATGAAAATTATTTTACAAGTAATTTATCATGTTTAAAATTATTGAAAAATGGTTTGCCTGAAAGAATCCTGGAGGCTATAAATAATTAAAAATTCAGAAATCACATTTTTTTATTTGTAACCGATGAGTTTGATGAACAAATTTTACATCAACCGTAAGTACAAAGCCTAAAGGATATGCAAAAACAGGGTTGCCTATATTTTACCTGGTCTAACTATTGGGTTGCCAGGTATAAAGAGATATTTTGGTCCTAGTTATTTCCACCTACCTTTATCCATATTCCTCATACAATAATATGTTTTTCAATATCATTTCAAAAAATTAAAAATAAAATGGCATTCAACTTGTCGGGAAGAATCTTATTTTGCGTATTCCATTATTGTTACCTAATTTTTTTCAAGAATAAAAATGTAAGAGAAAAATATATTGTTAGCGACGAAGTTCAAATCACCCCGTAAATGAAAAGAACGTCTAAGGAATGTCTTATCACAAGCGGCCTCGACGACTCATCGGTTTTCGTAATCATCCTGTGATCGGAGATCGAAACGAATCACTTGTCGATGTTGTATTTTTATAAACGGTCATCTTTGTACAAGCCGTCCTGAGTGAATAAAAATGTGTTTGAGTGTTGAAATTGTGTCTATCTACGATTCCTCTATTTAGAATTTTATAATAGAGAAAATTAACAAGTTTCAGAACGAATATGCTTATTAATCTCGTTTCTCGGGAAAAAATTAGAAGCAAAGGAAGCATCTAAATTGAATGATCCACCCTATTTGGTAACTGGAAAATGCCAGAGGCGTCCTACGAAAATGTTTGGAGGGGATCAAAAGCCTATACCTCCAAAAACGTATCACCCTGTAGATTTAAAAAATTTTCAAGAAGCGTATTCACTCGAAAGGAAAATGATGCAAATATAAACTACTAAGAAAACAAATTAACTTTTGAATCTGAAACCTGTGAATCGGTCGCCAGCCAGTATTTCTATAGTATGAAACTGCACAAACTTGCATCTCATTATTTTTCTCAGATTGTTCTCAATTTGACACACCTTTGAATTAATGTCACATACTCTCATGTACTGTCGGTTACCGATTTTTTCATGAATTTATTCGCGGTTTATGTCAAATTGTCAGTGCTTGTCCGTGTCCACACTATAAAATATACAAAAACGTCAAATGCATTGAAGAACTCATACTCGACAGTATATTAGACATGAACTCCAGGTGAATCCTGACTCAACATTTCAGATAAAAGATTTAGATGAATTCACTACCCTTAAAGTATTCAAAATGAGTATGTCGTTACTTTCAGTGCTCCTCACCATTGAAATAACATGATATATTATTCAAATAAATACATTCCTATTGTTCCATGAAACATTTTATTCATTATTATTGCAGTACAAATCGAAGAACAATAAATTAATTTGGCCTTTTGAAAATAATAACTAGTTATGGTCAAGGAAGAAATTTCAGAATCTTAGTGATAAAACCATTTTAAATCATGATGAACATCAAGGGAAAAATAAAGGATATTTGTATAGGCTTAGTATCTCAAGGAGACAGAATAATTATTTACATGAAAAAAATTGCCGGATTTTGGTTCACTGAAGATACTAGTATGACCGACTGGAAAAATGTGCTGTGTAATCATCTGATTTGTCCTCACTACAAATATATAGAAATAAAACTGATATTTTTATTCACAGCAAGAAAAGAGCAAATCCTGAAAAAATCTCATTTCAGTGATTGTTCACAGATTTTCGAGTTTTCTTAAGATATATATTTTTTTAATGTTAGTGATCAAATTCAAAATGTATTCAACGTGATTTATCTTCACAATTTATTCAACGTGATTTATCCCAGATCTGAAAAACACCCACTTTATAGTCACTATTAAATTTAATTTACTATCTCACCATTTTTATGAACTGTGGCAATGTCGCTTCGTTCTCTGCCATTCTGCTTGTTTTATATGCCTTCCATGAACGACTAGCTCTCGATGAGTAAAATTTCGGGTGGAAAAAGGGTCTTGTCCCAAATCTTATTTTAAATACTATATTTTGTCCAATGGTGAATATGGTACACCTTGAGAGTTCTTAGGGTTTATAATCAACGTATTCATTTGGATTACTTTTTCCACATGTCAAAATGTGAATTTTTCGTTGTTCAAACAATAGCAATGCGTAATTGTAGCCAATCATTCGGTGTTATACTGATAACACATTGTTAACATTTAACTGACTTACCAGTGTCCGCCACCTTGTTTCTTGTGATCTATCTTAAGTGTAAGTAACAAAGAAAAAAAAAACGAAACCTTTTTCATCTTCTTTCAGTTTGCTTACAGAAATAATGTTTAAGATTATATAGGGTTGTCAACAAAAAACCGGAATTTTGTTTTCGAAACAGAACTTTTTTATTAAGGGACCGATTCAATTGATGTTGGTTGAAAAAGAATTGAACAAGACAAAACTTCATCCTCATGCAGATATTTGACTAATCAAACACTTGCATTTTGTTTATATTATTTTTTTTGTTCGTTTTTTACGGATTTCAATATTTGTCCTCTTGTTCTGTTCAGAAAAGTCCACGCTCTCCGAGAAAATACATATACTGCAACTCAAAAAAGTTGCAGCAAGTTTTCAAGTTCGGCAAAGTTTCGGTGTGTCCGTCATTTTGTTTTATGAAAAAAATCATCAATGAATATGGAGTTGATGTTTCAACTTGGTCAATTTTATTTCAAACAAGACCAAAATCAATTGAATCGGTCCATCCATAAAAATGTTATTTCGCGAAAACTAAATTCCGTTTTTTTTTTGGACAACCTTAACGACGTACAGTTGTGAGATATGGGGGTGCTTCCATAAAAAATGCGACAAAATTTTATTTTTCCGAACTGAAAATTTTCCAGAAAAAATTTGAATAGTTAGTAAATTGGGCGTCCTGATTCCAAATCAGAAGTGATTTTCGACCTATTTTGACTCCTAATATCATTTTCCGGAAATTGGGGTAGTTTCATGGCTGTTGGCGAGCAGTGTATATCACTGAAGATGACCCCACTTGGTCATAGAGTGCATATTTGGTATATCTCTCGCTCCAGCAAATTTCAGGATCCTTACCCAACGATTACGTAAGATACAGGGGTGGTTCCATTAGAAGTGGGTCACACTGTAGGTACATACTAGTGGTAGTAGAGAAAGGGAAGGCGGGCGCCTAGCAAGTAGGCCCCAGTGAGCCTTTTTTGCCGACCCCTGCTGCACACGTCATGTGCGCATATATCTACTATTCCTTCTCTTAATTCTCCTTTTCGAACCTTCGTGGATTTCCAATGAAGGTCAGTATGTCCGTCCAACTTAGTATAATTTGATCTTCCTGTTGAAGCGTATCAGTACCAGAGATTTCGAATTTATGCCTACCATAACGCCTTACACTGGCCCAGGTAGTGGTATCACATTGTATACAGTGGCGGCAATAGCATGGTACAAATTCATTTAAAAGTCAGGACTGTTTCTTGGGTCTTCTTCTTAAGGTCGATCTTTATTTTTTCCTGCGGTTTTTATGGTAGTAGATTCATTTATACAGGGTGGCTCAAAAATAAGTCACGATGATCAACTTAATTTTTTTGAACGGAAACACTTATTTTTTATTTAATTTTTGAATTCGTCGTGAAATTCTAAGTATGTTTCATGTATAACATCATTGAAATTGAACAAAAAAAATTTTATCGAGATGCAACAAGAGCACCTTTTCTATGTAAATAGCCCTGAGATTTCATAATTCCATGTCAAAAAACTGAAATTGCGATGCACTTAAAATTTGGGGTTATTTTTACCCCCTACCTCCCGATTTTGACACACCCCTGTATTCAATTTTGAGGTGATTTTAACGCTATTCGAACCGGCACTGAATAGTAAGTGGATGGACAAAATTTCAGATTTTCATTATACAAGGGAGATAATAATACAAAATCATTCTCCGAGCCCCCCCTTTGAGGGGCTGTATCTTTCTTGGGGGTCACTTCAGAAAAAAATGTTACGGAGGTTTTCATAACTATTTCACCCACTCTATATGCTCCCAAAGTTTGACCACCTATTTTATAATCACCTTGTATATGCAGTTAGGGCATCAATGGATTCTTGGCCTATCAATTGTTGATTTGATTGAAGTGAGACAAAATCAGTATTTTAGGACATATAAATATTATTCTGTCATTAAAACATCATAAAAAAAATCCGATTTCATACGCTGGTGGGTACCCATGAGAAAAAAATGTCTATTGAAATACATAGGTTGCTATGGTAATTTGTCATAAAAACCCAATTTAACTGTACAAAAATTACTGGTGTGGAATTTTCGATATAATTTGAAGGACTCCTGGTGATACCTTCGATGATACCATGTATAACAAATATATAGTTTTGTGGTCTCCTTAAGATAATAAGTCTATGGATATCCCATTCCAAGTTGAATTACCTTTTCGAGGCTACAACAACGCCACAAAAACCCTCACCGACTCCATAACAAAACAACAAATCATTCTCTAATAGTCTATTCTATTCTATACTCACCGGCGGCGGTGAGTCCCAACTTGGCCAACGAGGCCAAATTCTTGTAGGCGGTGTCGTTGGTGAGCAGATCGGCCAGGTTGAATCCGGCCGGAGTGGGGCTCGTGGCGGCGCTGTGCGAAGTCTCGGCCAGGGTGGCTAGTTGGGCCAAATTGTACTCGGCGATGCTCGAAAATCCTTAAAATAATATATTATACTTCTAGAGTGAGAAGTGAGCTATTATACAGTGAGGACGTAAAAAGTCCTCCCCCCTTTTCAACCTTCGAACGGAACAAGCTAGCGAGGTCGGGTGAAATTCAGACAGAAAGGTACCTCTTTTACTACTATTTGGCATGAAAAAGGTTGTGAACACGTGGTACCTTGTTTTGAATGCCTTTCGATTCTTTATCCAACACCGCTTCGTTTGTACAGGGTGATCAGTTGAGGGTAGCGAGCGGCCATATCTCACAAGATATTGGTCGTATAGATTTGAGAGAGAAAAATCATGATAAAATTGGCCAAGAGAAATTGCTTATTTTCAAGTTTGTCAAACGTCCGCGTAACAACCAACACCAAGTAGAAAAATGGGATTTTTATAGAATTTTGTCTAATGAAAGTATATCTATGATATCATTTTCATATTTACTGACCATTTCCCTACATTTTGTGTCTGAAACGTTTTGTTCTATCTATCAAAATGAAGCGGTGGGGGGAGTACAATTGTTTTTTTAGCAAACCAAGATTTCTCCCGTTTATTTCGACCGATTTTAGCAAACTTAGGCTCATATGAAAGAGCATAATTCGCCCAATAAAACGCTTACTTGGGTTTGAATTTTTGACTTTTGCTGTCGCCGCTAGATGGCGTTATATATCACGGATATATATCACATATATATACTCTGTTAATGGTTTTTGTTGTGCTATAGTTCCGTAAAATGAGTCAATAATACCGTCTCCGAGATAGAACTGCAACTCCTTTTATCTTCCATTCGACTTCGCGGTTTCGTATATTACTAAACAACTACTGAATTCGCAATTTTTTAAAATCAAATCACAGAATTGAACTGACAGAAGTGACATCAGATATTTGATTACTTCAAAAGAATGATAAAGATGCCTATAAAACGCAGGTGTCCCTACTGTTAAAAACTTGAAATTTCACGTCGATAATTTTCAGATTTCGAAATAATGTAATATCTTCTCAATATTGATTCGTCCTTCCTTCTGTCACAGAAAAAAATAGTGTATTTTACACGGGAAAAATATTAGATTTTAGCTCACGGTTTTTTGTCTCCCTCCGCTACGCGTCGGGAGACAACACAACCTGAAGCTAAAATCTTAATAAATAACTATTTATAACATTAAAAAATGTCACGCCAGTTTTTTATCAAAATGAAAATCAGTTTTGTAATTTCTCATTAGTTGCTAACAAAAAGAACCTCTTGACTTTTTTTCGTTAGACAAACGGTTTTGGATTGAAAAAATATAAGTTTACATGAGGCGCCCAGTATGTAAACCCATTGTCGATCTAAATGAAAACCTAGTAGGCGACCTAGTACGCGAGGAGGTACAATATTGTCTGTTCTTTGAATCAAAATCTGTCTGCCTGTCAAGTGGCGCTGGCATCCTGAAAATGGAAAAAGCTCAGTTGTTTCTGTCAAAATAGACCATATTAGGTTGATATTCTCTTCTTCTATTTTTCTCCAATATGTACGCAACCACAGACGTGCTTTCCATCATTCCATCATTGACGTGATATTTGATAGGAAGACGATGGAGAAGATTCATGTAATCATAAAATTATTTTCTGACAGTTGTCATTAACTAATAACTTCGTCTTTGTGGATGTGTTGAACTTTGATTTCCTTTCTTGGAAATTACAATTATACCTATACCTAATCATTTCTTCTAGTATTGGTTTTCTATCAGAGTTTGTTGATTGGTTTGTGAGTGCGATTGTGTTATTTTGCAATGTCATCTGAAAACTGCGCACTCCAGGAGGTGAAGGTGTAATTGAATTATCAAGACATGGTTTCCCCAATCCCCACTGTTGTGAATTCAACTAACCTAATATTCTTTGCTCAAATCCTGAGGCGTCAATGGGTTCACGCCATATTCATTGGATATCAAGGTGAACTTTTTTTCTTGAATCACATAATATTTGGAACTTAATGATATTTATATTTCAGGAATGTGAGTTTTTGAAGTAAGCGAACATGATACTATATGTTTCCAACATTTTAAGGGAACTGTTTCTTGCCAATGAAGAATAGGAAACGGTTTTGGAAAGAGAGTACGGTCCCAAGTTTGTTCAAGGTAGAAATATATAAATAAAATGGTATTTAACAAATTTGTACCTATACTAACTAACTAATTATTAGTTTCGGTATGAAATTCACCAAGAACTTGACTTTGGTTCCTCTAAAAGTTGTTCCATAGTCAAAAGTCATTAAATTCATTTCAGAATGGTACAGGACATTGAAACTAGGGACAATATTTTTATATTTTCAGACTCGGCAATGTTGTTTGGAATATGATGCTGAAGAGGAATTCCTGCCTTAAGGAACAGGACCTGACGATGAAGAAGCATCTGAGGAGGAAACGGGCATTTGAACAGATATTATAGAATGATAATAAATAATAATAAAGTTCATTCAAAATGTTGACTTAAATATAAATTAAAAAGATACATATTGGTATTGAATATTCCTGTGGTTTAATTTGTGCCAATAATAGACACATCTTCTCATATTTAGTGAAGTTCGTAGCTTCAATAAGATGATTTAATAAAAAATAATCATTGTTTTACTTCAAAAATACTTCACCTATATACAATATTTGTACAATATATATAGTCTTTTCAAACTTATCTGCCAATACATCTGTACAACAATAAACAGGGTATCAGAAGAGAACAAACTATATAGTAGAATAAAAATTGAAATAATTCTTCATAATTATGTACAATTTATTAAAAAAATTAAATTGTATTGCCATTCATACAATACATACAAGTTATATTCCAATAAAAAATTCTAAATATCCCAGCATCTTGACAAAGAACCCTGAACAATAGAATACCATATATCTGAGGATGATTCCTATACAATCTTGAAATCACTTTACTCTAGTGAAATTCTGAGTGGCTCACTACGAAAATGGTCCTGAGTGTGCTGGAGTGGAATATCACATGTTCCTCATCATCTAATTGATTGCTTGAAAAATGGATAAATTGAATATACATTGGGGTGTGTATAATTTGTAGCCTAGAATGAAATGCCTGGCTATTTCCAGCAAACAAATCGTTGTTCTTACTGCTTATCTGGATTCAGCTCATCGAACTGCCCCATTTTCTTGTGTGTTTTTTCATAAAATCTTGTGAACTGGATATTTTTGCATCTCGACTTTCAAGGAGGTACCTATCTATAAAAAATATAATGATATTTTGTGTTTGGAGCAGAATATCCATGAGACATTGATGAAATAACCAGATTGAGTCTAACCTTAGTGCTTCTATATATTTATTTCAGATGGTAAATTTTCCATTCTGTTCTGGAACATCATCATCCTTCTGGTACATTCCTTCTGAACATTACTCACATAATGATTTCTAATGTGATACTTCCACATCACTCATAGTTTTCCGTTTTTCAACTGAAAAGCTATTAATGTAAGTACTCTTCGCTGTAGGTAGGTATGTACCTGAAATTTTCAAGTATATAGTGATTCCGATGTGTACATGGTTTACATCACTAAAGACATGTTTTCACTGCAAATAATGGAATTTCACGAATTATAGAGTAACTTATCAAAAATATAGAAGGAAAAAAGCAGCCCCTACCTTTCTGCTTGGCTTGCATGTCGAAAAAGTGTAATAGCACTATTGAGTTTCCGAAGTTTCCACAGTTCCAACTTAAATTCAAGTTGCATCATGAATCATACTAATACAGCATTGCCTAAACATCTTCCTGCTTCCATTCAAGTATAGGTAGATGGTTTTCATACTTGATAATATCCTTCGTGATAATGTTTCATTTTCGGGATTCCACATGACAGATTTTTATTTACAAACTTGACAGGACCATGAAAAATGTTACGGTTAGGTCTGACAAATGAATAACTTAGTTTACTTGGTTCACATTGATGTCTCTGTACTACTGAACGCCTTCATTTATTTTTTAAAAGAACAGACAATATTATGCTCTCGCCTACTAACTACCTAACTAGGTTTCCATTTAGATCGACAATGGTAAACCTATTTCATTTTACCATTCCAAAACCGCTTGTCTAACGAAAAAAAGTCAAGAGGTTCTTTTTGTTAGCAACTAATAAGAAATTACAAAACTGATTTTTATTTTGATAAAAAACAGTGGCGTGCCATTTTTTAATGTAATAAAATTATATTCTGGTCAATATCAACGGTTCAAAATAAGGTAGACCCTAATTATTCTCATTAAATTATAGCGAAATTTATCCTCTTTCAAAAAATAAAAAAATTGATATACCATTACGTTTGTTTTTTTTGAAAAAAACTCAAAAATTTGCTAACATTTTAGTTAACGCCATCTAACGGCGACAGCAAATGTCAAGAATTCAAACCCAAATAAGCGTTTTGTAGGGCAAATTATGCTCTTCCATATGAGCCTAAGTTTGCTAAAATCGGTCGGAAAAAACGGAAGAAATCTTGGTTTGTTTAAAAAAGCAATTGAACTTCCCCCACCGCTTTATTTTGATAGAAAGAACAAAACGTTTTAGACAAAAAATGTACATTATACAAAATTCTAAAAAAAATCCATTTTTCTACTTGGTGTTGGTTGTTACGCCCTCTACCGGACGTTTGACAAACTCAAAAATAATTTCCAGCAATTTCTCTTGGCGGCTTTTATCACGATTTTTTTTTGTTTCAAACCTATACGACTAATATCTTATGAGATATTGCCGCTCGCTACCCTTAACTGATCACCCTGTACAAATCGGCCAAGCCGTTTCAAAATGACAAAATTAAAAGTGATCCTAACCCTCTAGATTTTTTCTCATGCGGCAATAACTTCTAGTAACGGACCTTGTTGTCTCCTTGACATTCGTTTTTGAATCAAGTTTCTAGCTGTCATAGAACTCGACCAATCGAGCCCCGACGCAGTAATGCCCCACCGTGTATATTAAATGTCTTTTCACCTCTCCCCGTATATCAACTATCG